ATGTTAATGGATCATTAAAAAAAACAGTAATAATAATAATTAAAGCTAAAAGAAAGCAAGATCTGCCAAAAACTCACTAATGGGTCAACTCATTCACACTCATTGACTTTTAAAGAAGTTCATTTTAATTTCTCCTATTCTTCTTTTGATTCGTCTTTTCACAAGCCCGACATTGAAAAGACCTCCCAAACATGTTCCAATGTGAATGGAAATTTTGATTAACAAATTGAGACCGAAGCGCTCTTCAAGCCCAAGAGAATTTTAAGTGGACCGGGATAATGAATCCATCACTCTCCCATCCAGTTTCTATGTTTGCTTGTGATAAAATGCTTTAAAAATAAGGGATTAATTAGATAAAATATATATATATATATATATATATATGGGAAAAATATTTTCTACAGTTAATGCAGATAACTTATCTGCATTTATTCCCAAAATGACGTCGTTTTGGTATTGAAATCTTAAAAAATTATAAATATAAAGACTATTATAACCCTGAAATAAATTAAAATCACAAAAACACAATGATTTCTGCACAAAACGATGTCGTATTGGGCTTACTGCAGATAAGTTATCCGCAGTAACTACAAAAAAAGCGAACCCATAAATATATATGGAAAATAATTATCTCATGTTGCATGAGATAATTATCTCATGCAACATGAGATTAATAGATCCCTATATATATATATATATATATATATAAATATATAGGATTTATATTTTTTTCTTTCTCTTTTCTTCATATGATCCCACATGAATTTCACACACTTCTATAGTTCTATGTACATGTAAGAAATAAAATTATCTCCTATAAAATAAGAAACATTAATCACTAAAAAAGTTTAATTGTTTTAAAGAAAATTTTCATTTCATTTTAATTCATTTGTTATTTTGAAAATAAAAATGATCTTAAATTATTTTTTATCTTTATTTATCTCTTTATATTTTTACAGAGTAAAATAAAAGATTTATAAAAATATATATAACTGAGCTTTTCTCTGTTAGGGTCCATTACCCTTAACACATATTAACCCACAAAATAAATATAGCATATTTGTGGCAAAATTTTTAATACAAATATTTATTTATATTGAGTAAAATCATAACACCATACGCTACGACTCAAATAACCATAGTAGCATAGCTAGAGTCAATTATGCTGTTTGCTCAACAGCAGAAAACACGTCAACAAAGTTATCTTTTTCTTTCTTTCTTTTTTTCCTCCGGACATGAACAAACCTATTCTTGCTTGATCGATATTACGCTGTGTGGTTAGAAAATTTGTTGTGGTCAGGGATCGGAGTATTCGATACTCATTTTATTAAATATAATATAATATAATATTTTTATCTTTATATTTATTTTTTATGAAGCACCGACACTTTAAAAATTCTAATGTGTTGTGTCTGACACTCTCTGACACTCCAATACACGTTATAGAAATTCAAAAAAAGTTCAAAGGTTGCGTTGCGTTGAGTTTTTAGTTCCAACTATTAGATTCGTTAGATTGCGATTACTATTTTATTGAGTTTAATATAAACATTTAGGATATTTTATGTTTCTTTGCAAAATTGATGAATATTATAAGTTTAGTTTAATTTTTTGTTAAATTATTGAATATTAAATATAATATACATTACATAAAATCATAAATTAAAAATATTATTTAATATCAAAACATGTCATCAAAAATCTAATATTTTTTTTAAAATTAACGTGTCGAAATATCATGCCATATGGTATTACGTGTCAGTATTGATGCTACATAATTTATTTTCACTTATAATTGTGAATTTTATTAATAGAATAATTTTCTATTTTTCATATTCTTTCAAAGACGATAGGACTATATAAACTTTTCTCTTGTGTGGTCTGTCTTAAACTTTTCTTTTAGGGGTGTTTGGTTCAGGAGAAATATTTTTTTACTAGGGAAATAGAATTAGTAGGAATATAGTGGGAAAGTAATTTTGGTAGGAAAATGTAAAAAAAGTTGTTTGGTACGCTAAAAGTTTACCGGAGAAATTGGGTTAAAATTTTTAAGTGTATATTTGGTTGAAGATAGAATATTGATGGAAAAATTGTTTGAAAATACTAAAATACTCTTTTTTTTACTGTTTTTAAAAGTGAGTTACCGTTGTGTATACATAGTGCATTGTGTGATAGGTAATTGTGTCATTGTATTGTATCACTTTAATAACTTCTCCGGTTTTTGAGTGAATACCATCTTCTCAATTGCTTTCTTCAACAGTGATTTTGTTGCTTTTTAACATGCAAACCGGTTTGCCTAGGGAACTGCCATTGATGGATAACAAACATGAAATCAGTGAACCAAATTTGGACAACCGACTATTTAAGAATCACTTTGATGGAAAACAATGGCAAACTCCTGAACCACACACCACTTTAAGATGTTGGGCTTTGAAATCGGACAACTTTCTCTCTCTCTCTCTCTCTTTTAAAAAGAACGACGATGTATTTATTTAGAAAAAAATGTTTGTCCTTTTAAATGATATAACTTATGTCATTTCACTCTCACAAAAAGATGGGACCCACATCTTTATTTATTTTTGTCCATTCTCTCTCCCCCTTTATCTATCTCTTTCTCTCACTTAAAATGACACAACTTTACATCATTTAAAATGATACACATTTTTCCCATTTATTTATGAGTTTAGATTTAATACTTTATTAGCGTAAGATTTTTAACTTTTATTTAGTAACATATTTATATATAATTAACATATTAAAATTTTGGGAAAACTTCAAAAATCTCCCTACAAATTTCCTCAAAATCACTTATCTCCTCCCCAAAATTTTTAATTATTTATCCCCTTATTTAAAATTTCTTTATCACTTACCCCCATAATTTGATTTTTCATCCAAAATTTTGTTAACAGAGTTATTTTTTTTTTTAAAATACTGAAATTACCCTTAATAGAAAAAAGAAAAACATAATTTTCTCACAAATGCAATTTTAGACGAACTCACTGAATGTTTTCTTTAAGGTAGCCTTGTTAGAATTAGTAATTATTAAAATTATTTCTTGCAAATCTCATTGCTATTAAACACCACACTCACAATTGTTGGTGCTGTTGTTCAAATAAAATGATTAAAGAGCCATCATCTCAGCAGCTTTAGATCTTCCATTTTCTGTTATAAGCTTTTTTGCTATTATATGAGCAACAAATCTGATTTTATAAATTTATTCAGAGCCGCACTTTATTTTGCTTGCATAGCAACTGAAAAGCTTTACGTTCTGTGCTTCATATATGCCTTGCTTTTCCCTTAATCGTACGATATTACCAAGCAAACATGCCGAATGTGCTATTTCGTTGTTTTCTGTGTCCTTGAGAGTAGAGGGAGGATTCAATCGTTGATTTATATTCATGTCTTGCTTAAGTGAGTTCGTCTAAAACTGCGTTTGTGATGAAATGATGTTTTTCTTTTTTCTATTAAGGGTAGTATATTCATGTATTTCATATTCCACACTCGCTGTGAAATATGGGCACTCGGCGTTCTCTTCCGAAGGACCTTCCATCTATACGGCCCAGGTATGATGTACATAGTAGGATCGGTAGGCATGGATCGGATGCAGAACCCGCAGATGATGGTGAATCACCCATGATAAAAAAACTATATAATATAAAACAACATTGAAATTAATCACATGTAACAACAAATTTTATGTACAAATTAATTACGTAATTCCCTAATTTATTATCAAAATTATTAAGCATAAACCCTACGTATTTACTACAATCGTAATTAATGACATAATATTAATACGTAGTACACTAATTTATTTGTAATGAAATAATAATAAAACCTCATGCACTAATTAAATCGTAATGACATAATACTAAACCCTAAGTCACTAATAATTTCATAATTATATAATATTAATAACACCTAAGTCACTAAAAAGTTCTTAATATACTACAACATTCATAACATGTTACAAAAATTACGAAGTCACTATCACTATTTTCTAAATCACTAATATACGCTAAACCCCAATGCATAGTTAAATTATAATAATAATAGCTACAAAACAAAAAAATTACTAAGTCATTACAGTATTCATAGCATGGTACAAAATTCCTAAGTCACTAACCAATTTTCTAAGTCTCTAATATACGATAAATCCTAATATATTCGTAACGTAGCACTGTAATTTAAACGTATACATAACAGGTATTAGGAACTTACCTAAGTTGGCAGAGCTTCGCTACGAAAAATTTCACGTGCGGTTGAGAGCACAACTTGGTTAGAGAGAGGTTAGAGTGAGAGTAAAATGATAAAAATGAGAAAATGAGGGGGTTTTATAGGGTTGGTGGGTGATGCTCCTTTTGGGCGTCACATGTCACGCCTGGTTTGGACGTGACCCACCAAGACGTGACACCCTCTTTGGACGTGATATGTGACACCCAAAAGGGACGTGACATTGTGCAATAGATCCGTAATTTTTTAAAAAACTGTAATAAATACATAATTTTTTAATTAAAATACATTATATTAATTATTTTCCCTGAGTTGAGATGGATGTTAAAAAGCATACAAAGCCACACCTACCAGAGAGTCTAGTTGTTGCGTGCTCTTTGCTAATTTTGATTTTGACTTGGTTGGATACCATTACTTGCCACCACCTTATTTGTCTATTGGTTTTGACTCGATAATTCAATTAACATAGATGTTGCCCTCTTGCCCATCTTTGTATATTAGATTTTTGACAAGTATAATCCACAAGCATTCCTAATTCAACTTTATTGTGAATCGGGATAGTACTTTTCAACGATTATACTAGTAAAATTCAAATCAAAGTTTTAATTATAAATCTAATTATTTGAATATTAAAAAATTTCAAGACATGTTATAGAATATAGATAACGTCAAAAAATACAAAAAAAGCTTAGAGAAGGAGGAGAGAGACACATAGTGCAATAGAGAGATTTTAAGAATTAGATAGTATGAAGACAACTTTCGAAACTCCTGGTGGAATCACTCAGGCCTTAATTCTCCCACTTGAGGGGCTTCCCCACTTCCCATGTGAAATCAGGGTCATCTCTGCCAAAATGTCCATAAGCAGCTGTCTTCAAGAACCTGTTGTTGCCACCCCTCTTGAGATCGAGGTTGATAGAGATCATACCGGGCCTGAAATCAAAGTTCTCCTTCACAATATTAAGGATCTCCTTGTCAGGGATTATGCCAGTACCATATGAATCAACAAAGACAGACAAAGGCTCAGGCACACCAATGGCATAGGAGACTTGCACAATGCACCTCCTGGCAAGTCCACTTGCAACAATGCTCTTAGCAGCCTGCCTCACAATGTAAGCTCCACTCCTGTCAACCTTAGTTGGGTCCTTTCCTGAGAAGGCACCACCACCATGAGCACCCCATCCACCATAAGTGTACTAAGGTCCTTTCCTGAGAAGGCACCACCACCATGAGCACCCCATTTATTATTAATTAATTTTACCGTTGATCAATTATGTTAATCTAACAGTTATATTTATTTTCATATTTATATGGTTATGATTTTCTGTATTTAATATTTTATATTTATTTTTATTTTTGTATGGTTATGATTTTTTATATTTAATGCTTTAATATTAAATATGTGAAATCATGACTATATAAAGATGTCAATAAATATAACTGTTGGATCAACATAATCAATTTAACAGTGAAATTAATTGATAATAACATTAATAGTAACACTAATTGATTATTGTAATTTCCTACCCATTTATTATTAACCCAATGTATAATACTGTTACCGCATTAAGACACGCAATATTTGATATCACGTTAGCTTAAACATGGCAGAGTCAGTACCGTGTTTGACCAAACAAAGACACGCCACCCTTACCCCGTTTATGGTGTCACACGTGATCTCGATTCAATTGCTTGCAATTTCCATCGGCTCTCTATTTTAAACCATTTTTATAAAGGGTGTTTGGTAGATAATAAATTTTGTTTAACAAGAAAAATATAATTACTAGAAATATGATAGGAAAATGACTTTGGTAGAAAAGTTAAAAAAAAGTTGTTTGATACATCAAAATATTACCGAAAAAATTGAGTTAAATTTTTTGAGTCTATATTTAATTGAAAGTAAAATATTAATGGAATAATAGGTTTAAATTACGAAAACAACACGAGATCTGTACAAACTGACTTTACACGATGGGAGGTCATTTTGGTCCATCTCATTTTTTCACTTGCTCACTTATCCCAAAATACCACATTGAAAGTGGTATTTTGAAAGAGTAATTTTCTTTACAATTTCAACACAAATGTGAATAGATGGGCAACATAGTTTACTAAAATTATTTTTGTAAACCTTGTACCAAACATTGTATTTCCAATACCCACTCATACTTCCCCATCAATTTAAAAAAAAAAAACTTATACCAAACACTCTCTAACAGAATACCACTGTTTCAACTTTCAAATGTATAATTACTACTATTTATAAACAATAAATTAATTAATTATGGCCTTCAAAATTTGTAGATAAATCAATAAGTTATAGCATCAATTCTTTGTTCAAAAATATATTTAAAAACCTCAAATTAGAGAACTATATAATTTTTCTAGAAGGCATTAATTTTGAACTTAGTTGAAATTCATATCAGAGTAAATATCTTTTTGGATCCCTAACAAAAAACACGGTCCCCACTTTAGTTTCTTATAAAAATAAATTAGTCAGTTAGTCCTAACAAATTCAAAGTAGACCCATTTTAGTCCTTTTGAGGGACTAATATGGGTCTTTTTGGAATTTGTGAGGTACCACGATTTCAACTAAATGGGTCCATTTTGAATTTGTTAGGGACTAACTGAATAATTTATTTTTGTAAGGGACTAAAGTGGAGACCGTGTTTTTTGTTAAAGACCAAAAATGATATTTACTCTTTATATTATTTGCATACTTTAGTAAATTAAAAAAAATGGATTTAAGATAACCGGTAAAAATATCTAAATAATATAAATAAATATATAATATTACTTTATAACTTTATAAATATTTTGAGCTAACTTGGTTTGATTATAATTAAGCCTATCAATTAAGGGGTTTATTAGTGGCAAGTAACTGTAAAACCAAATTTAGTTCCTGTTCACTCATTCAAAACGGGACCCACTAGGTGAAATGAAAAAAAAATGAAAAAAATAAAGAAGAGCTCACTTACCGATGTGAGAGCAGGAAATAACATGATTTTGCTATCACTTGATACAAATAAAACCCATCAATTAATTAAAATAAATCAAGTTTTTTAAAAAAAAAAACCAATGTCAAGCTTTAAGTGATCTAAAAGGTTTTTTAAAATATAAATAATATATTATTATTATTGTTGAATTTTTAATATAAAGTCTTGAAATTATATAATTAAGAGTAAAATACTTTTTGGGTCTTCAATAAAAATCATGGGCCTATTTTAATCCTTTAGAATAAAAAATCGATTTGTGGTCCTCCAAAAATTCAAAATAAATTCAATTAGTCGAAATCGTTATTTTTCTAAAATTTAAAGAAGACTCACGTTAATCATTCAAAAGGACTAATAGAGGTCTTTTTTAAATTTAAGATGAACCACATGCCAATTTTTTCTCTAAGAAATTAAATTGTGTCCAATAATATTTGTTGAGAACAAAAAAATACTTTACTGTATAATTTAAGGCTTGTTAGTCTATAGTATAAACCATGAATGGAAAATAGTGGAAAGTTTGTGTCGGCACGTGATAGTGAAGTTCTCCCTCCCTCGAGACCCCTCATAATGCAATACCAGTATACCACTTCCTTACTTGGAGAAAGTGGGTTCCGCAAATCAACGCAAGCACATAGCATAGAAAAATAAAACAGTACCTTCTGGCTAATCTTTTTTATGTAGTTGATAGTAGTCCAATCTGCGGGAGATTATGGTATTCTGTAATCATAAATCTAAACATCAGTTTTCAATAGCTCCACTTTTTTTTTATTTTTTTTTATTTTTATTTAAGGTGACACGTTGTTGGCTTCCCCTCATTATGTCAAATAAATTTTTGATGTTTTCTCTTTTTTGTTTTCATTCGGGTCACAGATTATGTTCTTCTTACAACACACCATGATGTTTCTCACTCATGGGCCGATAGAAAAAGGTGAAAGGGAACGTTGGTTGTCGGACTCAGATCCTGTGGTCCAAAATGATACGAAGAAGCCACGAAGGGTTTTTCTTTTTTTTTTCCTAAACATGAGGACAAATTGGTAAGTTAATATCAAGAGCAACCGCATGTGCCTAAGTCAGAAACATATTGACATTAACTATGGGCATGTGGAGCGAGGTCCAAGCCAATAATGGTGCCTGATACAGTAATTAAAAAACTCGATTTTGACTGTTATAAAGAGATGGATTTATTGAAAAATAAATGTAATAAATATAATCTCACTCAATTTATTTTAATATATTTATATATACAATCTAGTATGCTGAGATGTTGTTTCTTCTACATAATAAATAAAGTCAGATTTATATTAAAATATAATCGAATATAATTAAGTTATAAATAATTGCAATTGATTAAATTTATATCTTTTGTTTTTTTTTTAAGACATACTTATTTTATTTTATTTTATTTAAAATAAATAGTACATTATAAGCTGGCTTGTAAATTTATAGGCCAGGCCTTGTGAAAGTGAGCCTACGGTCTATTTATTAAATAAACTTTTTTAAGGTCCAAGTCCGGCCTATTTTACAAAATATACTCGGTCAGATCTAACTTGACATAAGCCGAGTCGTAAGTCCCTAAAGGCCGGCCCGGCCCAGTTTTACCCGTAACCGCTAACATGAATTTTCAGCAAAAATATCTAATGAAAACCATTTTCAAATATCCATGCTTCTTAAATATAAAAGGGATAAAAAAAACTTCAGTTCTTTCTTTTTGTAGCTTCCAACGCGGATCAGGAAATATAATAATGTAATGTAACTAGATTCTACTAATTAGGAGGATTACTCACATGGAGCACTAAAGATTCACTTTTGGCAAAGAGTTGAGTAGAATCTGCGTCTGCCTGATCCTGGTCTTGTAGAATAAGGAACGACTAACTGTCATACCACTTCAGCAGGTACATTTTATGGGGCCATAGCAGTACGATTGACTACCACACCCTTTTTTTTTTGAGCTTGAGTAGATTCGTAAATTTCAGAAAGATATGAAAATTGTTGCTCAATGTGGCAGTCTTTAATCAAGTTGTCCCTCTCTTCATCTTCACATTAAAAATGGCAATCACCAGTTATGTTATTTGCGCATGTCGCTCACTTTCGTCATATACTTTTTTGTTGCCTTACTTTCCTCATGTACTCGAAATATGAATTGAACACTTTTTTTTTACCATCTTTTCTTTGACTATGGATGAGAATCTTTTCAGCTTATAAATATATATAAATTAATCGTGGACGATATCATATGCAGGAGCATAGACCAAAATGTCATTTTTTGGCAAATTTTTTACTCAAATGCCACAATATCATATGTAGGAACATTGATCAAAATGCTATTTTTTGGCAAATTTTTTATTCAAATGCCACGCGAATAATACTTTTTATTAGACTGTCACGTGACGTAATTCGCTACGACTGGCATATTGCACCGACACTGACACAGGATACAACAAGACACGACACTCCGACATGTTAATTTTAAAAATGTTAAATTTCGACACGTTTTGATATTATATAATATTTTTAATTTATGTAGTGTATATTATATTTAATATTCAATAATTTAACAAAAAAATAAAGTTAAACTTATAATACCCATCAATTTTGCAAAGAAACATAAGATATCCCAAATGTTTATATTAAACTCAACAAAATAGTAATCGTAATCCAACGAATCTAGTAGTTAGAACTCAAAATGCAACACAATGTAACATTTGAACATTTTTAGAGTCTTTGCAATGAGTATTGAAGTGTCAGGAAGTGTCGGAGTATTGGTAAGTGTCGAAAAGTGTCGGGCACAATACGTTAGAGATTTTGAAGTGTCAGTGCTTCATAGACGACTGGTAGCAAACTCGCCAATGATTTTGTGACACGTGGCACAGTTTCACAGAAAAAAATTTACTGGACTAAGTTCGTTACTAGTGAAAACAAATTTGGGACGCAATATGACCACGTGTCACGAAATCATTGGCTACAAAATTCGTTACCATTGTTAACAAACTTTGACATAATAGTCTGATAAAAATTATGCGTGTCATTTAGGTAAAAAATTTGCAAAACAATCGCACTTTGGTCATTCTTCCTCATATACATATATCAATTTTGCTGTCCCTATCCATTTAGATTAATAATATATACAGATTAAGATATGTGCACATTCACACGACTTTCAAAAACACCAATAGCGACGAGGTAGCAAAGGGTAAAAACAATAATGACATTTAAGTGAATATAAGATAGTACAAAACATTGTGGAGGATTTTATAATACTCCTAAGGAGATGCCTGCCCTATTTCCAAAAGAAACATATAATATGATTAACTATTTTAACTATTTTAACTAATAGAGACAATATTTAAGAGGCATAACTATTATTTATCTAAGTTAAAAATACTTTATCTCACAAGACCGGTACCACTTAAGCCAAATATCGGGCATGCAAACTGAGAGTACATATTTTGGTTGATAATGTGAAAAAATACAAAAAAGCACAGAGAAGGAGGAGAGACACACAGAGCGATAGAGAGCTTTTAAGAATTAGATAGTATGAAGGCAACTTTCAAAACTCCCGGTGGAATCACTTAGGCCTTCTCCCACTTGAGGGGCTTCACCACTTCCCATGTGAAATCAGGGTCATCTCTGCCAAAATGTCCATAAGCAGCAGTTTTCAAGAACCTGTTGTTGCCACCCCTCTTGAGATCGAGGTTGATAGAGATCATACCGGGCCTGAAATCAAAGTTCTCCTTCACAATATTAAGGATCTCCTTATCAGGGATTTTGCCAGTACCATATGAATCAACAAAGACAGACAAAGGCTCAGGCACACCAATGGCATAGGAGACTTGCACAATGCACCTCCTGGCAAGTCCACATGCAACAATGCTCTTAGCAGCCTGCCTCACAATGTAAGCTCCACTCCTGTCAACCTTAGTCGGGTCCTTTCCCGAAAAGGCACCACCACCATGAGCACCCCATCCACCGTAAGTGTCAATAATGATCTTACGGCCAGTGAGACCAGCATCACCATGCGGACCACCAATGACAAAACGACCAGAGGGGTTCAAATGAAAAATGGTCTTCTCATCAAGGTATTTCTCAGGAACCACAGGCTTGATAACATGCTCTTTGAGATCAGCAGCAATTTCATCATTAGTGACAGTCTCATCGTGTTGCGTAGAGATTAGTACGGTGTGAACACGAACTGGAACCATGGCACCCTTATCATTGTAATACTCAACAGTGACTTGGGTCTTGCCATCAGGCCTCAACCAAGGGCAGGTACCATTCTTGCGGACTTCAGTGAGACGAGCACCGAGCTGGGTTGCAAGAACATGGCTCAAGGGCATGAATTCAGGGGTCTCATCAGTGGCATAGCCAAACATGTGACCCTGGTCACCAGCACCAATTTCCTCAGGTCTTTTGGTAAGATGGCCATGCACACCCTGAGCAATATCAGGGCTTTGCTGCTCAATGTAGACAAGGACCTTGCAGTTGTCAGCATCAAGACCAACATCATTAGAAACAAACCCAATTTTCCTGCAAGTGTCACGCACAATTTTCTCATAGTCAACATTAGCCTTGGTTGTGATCTCTCCAAAGACCATGACCAAGTTGGTCTTGGTGCAAGTTTCACAGGCAACCTTGCTATCTTGATCCTGTTCAAGGCAGGCATCGAGAACGGCATCAGAGATTTGGTCACAGAGCTTGTCAGGGTGTCCCTCGTTCACTGATTCGGAGGTGTATAGGAAAGTCTCTGCCATCTTTAATTGCTGCAGAACAACGGCCAACAAATATGAAGCATGAAGAATTAGTACCAAGAAACGAATTCACAAAAGCTAGTACAACAAGGGCGCCATCATGCATAAAATTCAGCAAAAAAGAAAGAATAAAAAAAAAAAAATCAAACACAAGTCTCATTTTCCAACTGTACACACGGCAAAGTACAATTCCAAAATTTGCTAAAATCCTCTAATCACCAAACCCCTCTCAGTTCATGGTCAAAATTTAACCCTCTGCCAGATTTAACAGACTATAACAATAAAAAATTCCCCTCAAAATTATAAAATTTCTCATAAGCAATCTGAAAGAAAAGTCGTTAATCATTAGCATATGAATTCCACTAGATCTAAAATCCTAACACGAATTCCCATGTGACCGCACAAATTAATGAGACATAGCACAAACTTAGGATTGCCGACAAGGGGGGAAAAATCATCACAAACACATTCGCTTAAAACCATTTGGGGAAACAGTTGAAGAAAAACCAAAGCAAACAACCCCAAAAGTGCAAAATCCCAAATTTAATCATGATATCTACGATATGACAATAATCTTGATCAAAGTTAACATGTTTTTTTTTCCCCCAATGGAACACAATAGAAGCAAGAGAAGTCTGCAATATAGAAAAAGCATAGTATACCTTGAGAAGTAGAAGAGCAGAGAATGAAGAATGGAGGTTTATTAGGCCTGCTCAGTGCTCTCAAGACTCGAGCGGTGGGTGCGAGTCCAAACCGTCACGCTGAGTCGCCATTTATAGACAAAAAATGTCTGGTTAGGTGGAGTCAATGACGAAAAAGCCCATGAGTAGAAAGATTATGGATCCTTTCGATTGTGTTTTGTTTTTTGAAAGAAAAGTTTCGATATAATTTTTTTTCATTTTAAATTTTAACGGGTGATTTTTGTCCGTTAATTATTATAATTTATTGAATTAAATTTATTTATTAATTAATAATATATAATAAATTATAATCATTAATTAGCATAAATTAATAATTGAGATCTAAAATAATATATAATTATATCTTTTAAAATGATAAAAAAAAAATTATTCTTAAAAATATTTTATAAAATAATTATGAAAACATGTGCTTTTTTATATATATTTTTTAAAAGTTAAAAATTAAAACAGTTACAATTTTTAAAATCATTTTTACAAAATTAGATTAACCGAATATTTTTTTTTTCTTAGAACCAAAAAACTGTATTCAAATATGGCCTATGTTTTGGGTTAGATTCATTCATTTGCATGTGCAAATATCATTTTAATCGACGGCTGAGATTGAGAAGTTAAAATGAATCTTTACCGTCCACTGGATTTGGAAGGAGTGGGTGAGTTGAGATGAATGTTAAAAAGTATACAAAGCCACACCTACCACACAGACAAGTTGTTGCGTGCTCTTGGCTAATTTTGATTTTGACTTGGTTGCATACCATTATTTGCCACATTCTTATTTGTCTTTTGGTTTTGACTCAATAATTCAATTAACATAGATGTTGCCCTCTTGCCCACTCCATATTTGAAATATTTAAGGACTTTATTGATAAATTTATATGTACAAAGAGCAAATTAATTGTAAAATCTAAATACATTTATTTAGGAAAACACATGACATTATTTTACAATTATATATTTTTATTGAATAGCTCCATATATTGCATCAACAGTTATATCCAAAATTATTTTGGTTTTTTTAATATTTTTATAAGAATAAGGCATACATGTAAAAAATGGGATTGGAAAATTGGAAAAATAATATAAAATTATAGAATATTTTAGAATTTATACATTACTATGGATAGTGACAGCATGCCAATGAAGTTCAGTTTTTTTGTGTATTGAAAAATCCGTGACCAAACCAAATCTCATGCTTAGGTATTTCTGCACTACAACAACCCATGCTGCAACTTCACCTACTTTGATTGATACGGCCAGAACAGCCAATTAAACTTTGTACAAATCTTATTAATTGTATACTTGCCAACTTTGTATAAATCTTATTAACGTGGGAATTAATTTTGAAATTATTTATTTTCATGAATACGAAGTTTGACTCGAAAGGTGTGTCTTTTTTTTCAACCAACAAATGTGTCTTTTTGTGCCAAACAGATATGTTGTTTCATTCTAACGAGCGTGTTGTTTCTTCATCGAATTGTTGGGCTTCCTCCTTCAATGCTAAGTCCAAGCCCATTGAGGAGTTTTCTAAAACCCCTAACCCTAAATCTCACCTCCTCTATATATTCATTAGTTATGGATAGAGGCTAGGTTAAGAGATCAGAGAAAAATTTTGAGAGATAATTATTTGATTGTTTGAGCAAAGCTTAATGCTTTGCATTTGAGAGATTTATAGAGAGAGTTTGAGTGAAACATCTATAGGGTAGTTTGATTATCATTATTGTTGGAGAGGTTGAGTTAACCACCACATTGGTGTATTTTGATTATTTTGTAACCATTATTTTCATAGTGGATTTTTGATCTGGACTAGGTCCCGTGGGTTTTTAGTTCTTCATTGGAGAAGGTTTTCCCACGTTAAAAATTGCTTGTGTTCTCTCTCTCTTCTCCTCCTCTCTCTCCTGTTTTTCGTTTTGATTTTTCCGCTGCGCTGCTCGACCTGGTGAAGTTCAGGCCGAGGTATTGCCGAGATCCGAAATCAGGATCTTGTTGATTGACTTCTGCACAAAGGTTGCTTAGCCGAGCTTGAGGGAACCGAGTTCCCAACAGTGGTATCAGAGCCCAAGTTCGACAGGTTCTGAGGGAGACGAGATGGAGACCAGTGGCATAACCAATAATGGAGACATGTTCAAGTTGACCGCTGACAATTTCACCTATTGGAGACCGATGATGGAAGATCATCTCTACTGCAAAGATTTACATGAGCCCATTATCCTTGATGAGAGATCGGCAGGCAAAATTGATAAGGAGTGGGAGATCCTGAGTCGGAAGGCAGTAGCCACGATCAGGAAATATATTGATAAAAGCCTCTTTGAGCACGTGTCCGAGTTCACGAATGCGTATGAGTTGTGGACGAAGCTGGAGACCATGATTCAGAAGAAGACTCCCAGGAATAAAGCATACCTAGTTCGCCGACTTGTGAAGCTTGAATACAACGACGACATGAGTATGATTGAACATCTCAACACCTATAAAGGTATTGTGAATCAGCTGTCAAAAGCTGAGATGAAAATTGATGATGAGATGCAGGTTTTGCTGCTGTTGAGCTCGCTGCCAGAAAGCTGGATACTCTGGTGGTGACTTTGAGTAATTCAGCTCCAGAAGGAAAGTTGAAGATGGATGTCGTGACAGACAACCTCCTGAGCGAAGAAGTCAGGAGAAGAGAACGAGGTGTTTCAAGCACGTCTGAGGCCAACATTGCTGAGAACAAAGGGAAATCCGACTCCCGGGGTAGAAGCAAAAGCAGGAGTAGAGGTCGTGACAGACGAGAAAAGTCCAGAGGTCGGTTAAAGCCGAAATATGAGTTGAAGTGTTTTTACTGTGAAAAGACAGGCCATAAGAAGCCAGACTGCTGGACCCTGCAGAATGATGAGAAGAACGACTCTGTCAAGTCAGATCAGATTATTCCCAAGAAAAGAGAAGACAAGAGCACCACTGCGGTAACTGCCAACCCGGATGCCGAGATATTCCTCCTTGGTGAGGATAATTATTTGAATGTTGCATATGATGACTGCACCTGGATTGTTGACTCTGGTGCCTCCTTCCACGCTACTCCACACAAAGGTTTTTTCTCCTCTTACCGAGGTGGTGATTTTGGAGTCGTGAAGATGGGAAATCAAGTGACCAGCAAGATTGTTGGTGTCGGTGATGTAACTCTGACCACGGATGTCGAATGCCAACTTGTGTTGAAAGATGTAAGGCATGTTCCTGACATGCGTTTGAACCTAATCTCGGTAGGCAAACTTGATGATGTCGGGTTAGTGAACTACTTTGGTAGTGTTAGACGGAAGCTGGCCAAGGGAAACTTGGTTGTGGCTTGAGGTAAGAAGGAAGGCTCCTTGTACGTGATGCAAGGAAAGATCAGTGGCAGAGAAGCCAATTCTGTCCGAGATGAACCTAGCTTGGAGCTATACCACAAGCGTCTCGGCCACATGTGCGAGAAAGGGCTCCAAATCCTGAACAAGAAAGGATTATTGTCCGGGTTGAAAGGCCAAGTGTTGGAGAGTTGCACTCATTGTCTAGCTAGAAAGCAGCACCAGGTTTCTTTTTTGAGACCGGATCAACCCAGACAACACAGGTATATTCTTGACCTCGTCCATACTGATGATGTCTTCTCTATGTCGGAAAGATCCCTTGGAGAAGCTCAGTACTTTGTTTCATTTATTGATGATCACTCCCGCAAAGTGTGGGTATATTTGTTGAAGTCTAAAGACCAGGTACTCCAATCCTTTAAAGAATTCCATGCAATGGTTGAAAGGGAGACTGGAAAGAAATTGAAGGTGGTCCGATATGATAATGGTGGTGAGTATTGCGGCCCATTTGATGCATACTGCAGAGCGGCCGGGATTCGACTTGAGAAGACGCACCACAAGACACCTCAACTGAATGGACTAGCTGAGCGGATGAACAGAACTATTGAAGAGAAGGTCTGAAGCATGTTATCCAATGTCGGATTTCCGAAATCATTTTGGGGAGAAGCCATCAAAACAGTTGATGACTTGATCAACCTCTCACCATCACAGCCACTTGAAGGAGAAATTCCAGAAGAAGTCTGGACAGTTCGGAAAGCGACCTATAATCAATTGAAAGTGTTTGGATGCCGAGCTTCCATGCATATCCCTAAAGATGAAAGGGCAAAACTTGATGCGAAGACAAAAGAATGCATCTATCTTGGTTCGCCGAGATGTGAGTTCAGGTTCCGACTATGGGATCCAATCAATAAGAAGATAGTGAGAAGCCGAGATGTGATCTTTCATGAAGATGAGAGCATTCATGACATCTCGAAGCCCAAAGTCCGGGTTACTGTCAGACGTGAAGAACCCAATCCTCCTGTCCGAGCTGAAGCAGGGGGAGAAAATCAAGAAAATGAAGAAAATGATGATCGGCAACAAGCTGAAGATGACCAAGACACTGAGGTCCGAGTTGATGATGAGATCCGGGATGAGAATGATGAACCGGTTCCTCAAGCTGAAGAACAGCCGAGATATCCAACTCGAGAAAAAAGACCCTCTACGAGATACCCATCTGATCAATACACCGTTGTTGCTGAAGACGGTGAGCCTCAGAGTTATGATGAGGCTGTGACGAGCTCAGAGAAAGAAGAATGGAAAAAGGCAATGCAAGACGAGATGAAGTCTCTGCACGAGAATCAGACTTATGAGCTGACCGAGTTGCCTAAAGGAAGACGAGCTTTGAAAAATAAATGGGTTTACAAGATTAAGAATGAAGAGAACGGGCTGAAGCCGAGATACAAAGCCCGGATTGTAGTGAAAGGCTGCAATCAGAAGAAAGGAGTAGACTTTGAGGAGATTTTTTCTCCTGTGGTGAAAATGACCTCGATCTGAACCGTGTTAGCCATGGCAGCTTCGATGGACCTCGAGGTAGAACAAATGGATATGAAGACAGCATTTCTTCACGGTGATTTAGAATAAGAAATATATATATGGAGCAACCTGAAGGATTCTAAGCTCCAGACCAAGAAGACTTGGTATGTCGGTTGAATAAGAGTCTCTGTTGCTTGAAGCAAGGCAGTGGTACAAGAAGTTTGAATCATTCATGACTGATCATAAGTGTGAAAAGACAAAAGATGACTACTGCGTGTTTGTGAAGAGGTATGAGGCCGGAGATTTTTTGATTTTGTTGTTATATGTTGACGACATGCTTATTGTAGGGAAAGACAAATCGAGAATAGCCGCCCTGAAAAAGGCGTTGAGCTCGTCCTTTGCAATGAAGGACCTCGGCCCTGCAAAGCAGATTCTCGGAATCAATATCATCTGAGATAGACAAAAGAAGCTACTGTGGCTGAGTCAATAGAAATATATTGAGAAGATTTTGAAGATATTCAACATGGACAAAGCCAAAACAGTGAGCACCCCCCTTGCCGGACACATAAAGCTGAACCAGAAGCAATGTCCGAGATCTGATGAAGACAAATATGAGATGATGAAGGTCCCTTACCAATCCGCTGTCGGAAGCTTGATGTATGCAATGGTTTGCACTAGACTCGACTTGGTGTATGTTGTTGGAATGGTAAGCCGGTATTTGTCAAACCCCGGCAAAGAGCACTGAGAAGCAGTGAAGTGGATCTTCAAGTACCTCCGAGGTACGACCGACTTATGTCTCCGATTTGGAGAAGGCAAAGCCGAGTTGCAAGGCTACTCGGATTCTGATTTAGGGGGAGACGTCGACTCGAGGAAGTCGACTACAGGATATTTGATGGGATTTGCCGGAGGAGCTGTCTCTTGGCAATCAAGACTTCAGAAATGTGTTGCACTATCAACAACTGAGGCTGAGTATATTACCGCTACTGAGGCAAGTAAAAAGATGTTGTGGATGAAGAAGTTCCTCATGGAACTCGGCCATGATAAAGACAAGTACGAGCTGGGTTGTGACAATCAAAGCGCAATCCATCTTGCGAAGAATTGGACCTATAACTCCCGCACTAAGCATATTGATGTAAGGTATCACTGGATCCGAGAAGTGGTGGAAGGTGGAGAGCTCGAACTCGTCAAAGTGCACACTGACCAAAATTGGTCCGACATGATGACGAAGCCGGTTCCAGTAAGGAAATTTGAAGACTGCTGTGAAGGAGCCGGGTTGATGCTAAAGCCGACGCATTGAAGTCAGAGGGGGAGATTTGTTGGGCTTCCTCCTTCAATGCTAAGCCCAAGCCCAAGCCCATTGAGGGGTTTCCTAAAAACCCTAACCCTAGATCTCACCTCCTCTATATATTCATTAGTTGTGGGTGGAGGCTAGGTTAAGAGATTAGAGAGAAAAATTTGAGAGATAATTATTTGATTGTTTGAGCAAAGCTTAATGTTTTGCATTTGAGAGATCTCTAGAGAGAGTTTGAGTGAAACATCTATAGGATAGTTTGATTATCACCATTATTGGAGAGGTTGAGTTAACCACCACATTGGTGTATTCTGATTATTTTGTAACCATTATTTTCATAGTGGATTTTTGATATGGACTAGGTCCCGTGGGTTTTTACTTCTTCATTGGAGAAGGTTTTCCCACGTTAAAAATTGCTTGTGTTCTCTCTCTCTTCTTCTCCTCTTTCTCCTATTTTTCGTTTTGATTTTTCCGCTGCGCTGCCCGACCTGGTGAAGTTTAGGCCGAGGTATTGCCGCGATCCGAGATCAGGATCTTTTTGATTGACTTCCGCACAAAGGCTGCTTAGCCAAGCTTGAGGGAACCGAGTTCCCAACACGAATATGTGCCTTTTGAATCGTAAACTCACGTTTTCTATAAATAGATAGACAATCAGAATTTTAAAGATAATTTTTTTTCCATTGTATTTGCATTCTTCTACTCTAGTGCGATTGCTCGAACATATGTTGAGTTCGATGAGGCTATTCTATATGGAAGTGTCCCATAAGAATAAAGATATCTGTTCTATATTGGGAGATAGTTGTCCGTAAATCTTTGGCACCATAGAGAGGGTAATATTGTCTTAAGGTGACAGTGTCTAACACTGAGCTCAGATTTTTTTTTGTTACATTCACATATTTTCATACGGTATGCTTTAAATTTTAGTTATTGTATATTTCAATTTCTTATGTGTGCTCTATAAAACTGTTTGCATTATGGGAGTGATTTATGTAGCACAATTATCCCCTTTTAAAATTTTTTAACATCTTTATGGATAACAATCAATACAGACTTCAGTTGGCTTAATATTTTAAAATTGTGTTTAAGCTAATTGATTCAAATATTGTTAATTAGATTCCTACTAAGCTGAGCGCGTATATAAAAAGTGACTAAACAGAAATTTGAGAATTCATACAAGAATAACCCTCTGATTTTCAATTTCTTTTAACAAAATAACAGAATTCAACTCATCCAATAAGTATCATAAACACTTTTTTATAGACTAATTTTAAATTGATTCAAGATTCAAAACTCTAAATTCAAAATCTAAAATCCCAAAATAAATATGACGATAATTAATTTCTAAAAAAAATAAATATACAATTAAATCATTCAAAACATGTCCCAAATATTTGATATCAAATTATGCTAAATGTGTTTCTTTCTTTTTTTTGCCAAACAAATTACAATCATATCTACTCATTTATTTGAACTCTAATTTGATTGTAATTTGTTATACTTCTGTCTGATTGACAGAAGTGTCTAGTCAAAGACTAGTAAATTTATATGGGATTGGTACTCTCTCTAAGGTATCCATGATTGAGAATACCTAGAAATGTTAGATAACTTGCCAAATGGGTGATGTGTGCACAATGACAACATAACAATATAGGAGAGAAATTAATTCATACCCATAAGTTTTATCTCTTGTTTATAAAGTTTACCTGTGGATAGTAGAATTCTGGGCATTTAATAGTTTATGGGCCCAATATACCACTATATTGCTGTCAAAATAGGATTGTCATTATAAGATGATTCTTTCTTGATTTGTATAATTTTTATATGGGAAATATTTTTCTTATGTTGTAGGAAAATTATTACCTCATGTTGTAGGAATAAAATTACAAGTGAGACCCACAAGTAAGAGGAGAGAGAAAAAAAAGTGATGAAATGAGACCCAATCTTTTTTTTGTGTGTGTAGAAAAATTGTTTATCTTATGTAAAATGAGATAAACATAACCCTTTTTCTATTGTATTGTTCTTTATTCGGCCTTCAAATATCTGGGCCTTGTATAGGTCTATAATAGTTATATTTTAAATTATTGTTTTTTTTTAACAATTGGATCATATTTATTAGACTTAATTCTGCTTGACTCCAAACTTCTCGAATCAATGGTCGAGTCATATGTAATGAGTAAACTGTAAGTGCATTTAAGTAAAAAATATAACCTATAGCTTAAAAGTTATTTTTGACCATTTTTTTTACCTTTTAATTTCAATTTTAAATTTTTTTATTAATTATGCATATACTATTCGTAATTTTAACTTTTTTAAATTATATTTTTAGTTACTTAAATTAATTATATACATCTCGTTTATAATTTTAAAGACATTTTTATTGGATATTTTTTCTTTTAGTTTGTATTTTTTTACGCTTTTCTTAATTAAAAAGTAATTTATACAAGTATTTTTATAGGGTTTGATGTTTGTCACTTTAAATGACATAAGTTATGTCATTTTAAGAGAGAGATAGATACAAAAAAATGGAAATTATGAGAGAGAGAAAGTGGGTGGTTTTTTGTAATTTAAAATTCAAATTTTCTGTGTCTGTATCTCTCTTAAAATAACATAATTTTCTGTCATTTAAAATAACAAACACTTTTCTCATTTTTATATTAGTTTTTTGACAAGTATATTCCACAAGTATTCTTAAGAGATTAATTCAACTTTATTGTGAATCGGGATACTTTTCAACGATTATACTGGTAAAATTCAAATCAAAGTTTTAATTATAAATCTAATTATTTGAATATTAAAAAAATGTCAAGACATGTTATGGAATATATATAATCAAAACCCCCAACAACAAATGTTTCCGTTAAGAACTATTCAAATCTGTATAAAAATAAATACAAAATTCAAATCAAGTGATAACTTATAAGTAACTTGGAATTTTAATGTTACCGAGCACGAGGTAAGCATGAAATTTTGAAAGGGACCAGATAAAATAGAAAAGTCCCACCACTCTTGACCGTTGATTAGTTGCACTACAAAGAAAGGTTAGGTGCGTTATGGTGCCACATACCCCTCAAACCAACAACACCTACTGAAAATGACATACTTTATTATTATTACGAAAAAAATTATATTTACAGATTTTTTATTTACAAACTACATTAAGTATGACCGGTTATACTTCAATCAAGAGTGTATAATTGATCATACTTAGTGTAATTTATAAAAAAAAATTACAAACGAATCATTTTTCCATTATTATTATATGGTAGATATTTGTAAAATGTTTTGTAGTTTTATCAACTAATTAATAATGGAAAAATGGCTTGTCATGTTACATGACAAGAAATCAATTTTTTTATACACACAATTCAAGTTGAGTCTCACTTTTAATTTTTTTTTTCACTTCATTATTTAATGGACTTCACATATATTATAAATGTGTAGAAAAATGATTTTTGTCATGTAACATAATAATAACAAAACTCATTAATAATAGCATACACGTGCATGACATAATAATCTAATACCACTCCAATCCCACTAAAGCACTATATCTATATGTTTCAGTTTTAAGAAGCAGGTCAAATAAATACAGCGAAACAAAGTAAACGTTTCTATATTTGGGTCTAATGCAGACATTCAAAAGTAGAGGGGTTGGAAACAAAGGCACGTGCTGATTTAGTAGCTGCCAATTTAACTCGTCTAAAGAAATTGAATTGAACGGTTCAGTTGGCGAATTGAACTTACTAATTCAGTTAACACATGTTGTTAAAATCAAGATTTTAAGTAAAATTGGGGGAGATTAAAAAATTGGAAAATGTAAAATCGTAATGTAAAAAAATCGTAAAAATATAAAAGCGTTTGAAATATTGGAAAAATCGTTTTGATGAAAAAAAATCGTAAAAACGTAAGATCGTAGTGATAAATCGATATTTTAACAACTATGCACATGAGAGTTGAGTGAGTGGAATGAGAATATATATTTGGGGAAAAATATTTTTCATTTTAAATGACACAAAATTATGTCATTTTTAATGAAATTACGTCGTTTTAGTGTGTTTTTACATTCTCTCTCCTCCATTTTCTTTTTATTTCTAATTTTATAAATTAGAAAAAATGACATAACACACCAAAATGACGTAATTTCATTAAAAATAACACAAAGTTGTGTCATTTAAAATGACAAATACTAAACCCATTTGTTTGATCTTTTCTAATATCATGTTTTAGAAAAGTTAAAATCTTAATTCTGAATCCGTCACAAATCATAGTAATCGCGAAGCGATAAATTAATTGAAATATTTAAAAATAAATAAATTAAATTGAACTTAAAAGGAGAATGACAAAAAGGTAAAGATTATACTAATGGTAATATTTGAAAATAACACACGCACAAACTCATAAATTCCTTACAAATTCTTATATTAATTATTTGATGAAATTATATTAACTTTGTAATATTTTATCGAACAGTTTATTATATATGCTTCTATAAGCCGTGGATAAAGTTAGAAAAGTTTATGGGTTTTTTTTTTTCCTTTCTCTTTCCCTTGTAAGTCTAACAAGTCTTATTGTTATTATTAACGGTTGATATTGCTTGCATCAAACCAAATGAAATCAATAACTAATAATCTATATATAATAAGTACTATAAGTAAACGCTTTTCTCTATAAAATATAAATATTAAAAATTATTTGTATATATTAAATGTAATGTGTAATCAAATATTTGGAAAGTTTTGTAGGAAAAATAAAACAAAATAAGTGGTGATAGCTAAATAGCATTTTGGGTTCGATTATTGACGTCATCAAAATAGTCGCTCAGGCCCAAAAGTAGTTAAATGAGTTTTGGATAATAAGCAACTAAGAGAAAATAAAAGTGGGCCTGGAGAACAAGACCATGAGGCCCACGTAAAGCCCATCATCTCCTTGTTCTTAACGTGTTTCTGTTGATTGACATTGACGTGCACGACAATGCCAGAAAATTTGACGGTGGACGCAACGTAATTAGAAAAACGATTTCCGTTTCCATTGGAACGTGAAACACAATACACAGTTTTATTATCAGCAAGAAAAATTGTGTTAATTTTCTTTCTTGAAGAAGGATTCATGGGCAAGATTAAGTCTTTCAAACAAGAATACTCATTCGGTTCGTTCTTTTGTTTTTAAATTTCAAATTTGCTCACATTTTCTTGTTAAATATGTATGTAATAGTAATTATATCGTATTATTGAATTGTTGTTTGTGGATTTTGATTTTGAGCAGATGAGCGACTAAAGGATTCGGAAAGCATCATAGTCAAATACCCAGATCGAGTTCCTGTAAGACTTTTTTTTAAAAAAATAAAATAAAATTCTTTAATTTTGGGAAGTGATGTTTCAATTATGAAGTGTTTGAATGAAACTATTGAGCAGTGTCGTGACTATGTTTCATCATGCATTATGTATTGCAGGTAATCATTGATAAGTACTCTAGGACAGACCTGCCTGAATTGGACAAGAAGAAGTAGGCTTTAGCTATTATACATTTACCTTATTTTGGGCTTCAAGATTTTGTTCTTCACATCTTTATTATATATGCTTTTAGGTTAATGAAGTTGCTAATTTTTTTTTGTGTGTAATGCTTTTAATGTATAGTTCATCTGTCAATTTTATAGATTGGAGAATCCTCGGAGATATTCTGTTATTTTCAGTGTTGGCTTCCTTTCTGCTTTTTCAATTTTTTATAAACAGATATTTGCCTATTCTTCATTTATTTTGACAATTGTTTTTTCTATTCTTTTTCACTTGTTGTAATAAGATTGAATAATAATGCATCATTGAAACCCTGATTGTGACTAGATAATTGGTGGGTTTAAGATCTGACTTGTTTGTATTTTTTGCTCTTTTAGATATTTGGTTCCTCGGGATATGTCTGTTGGGCAGTTTATTCACATTTTAAGTAGCAGGCTACGTTTGACTCCTGGGAAAGCTCTCTTTATTTTTGTGAGGAACACATTGCCTCAGACTGGTAAATGCTCCTTATCACTAAAATCTTGCTAGAGTAGTTCAGCTTCTCTCTTCTTATATCAATGCTAATATATGTCTTGTCGGTGGCTTCCATGATTTCATCCACAGCAAGTCTTATGGATTCAGTCTACGAATCTTACAAGGATGATGATGGGTTTCTGTACATGTGTTACAGCAGTGAGAAAACATTTGGCTAACGTAGTTGTGTTTGTTAATTCTTGCAAGTATTTGCAAATTGTGTATTGTTGTCAGTATTTCTAATTCACTCCAGTAAATAATGTACATGACACCAGAATCTCTTGTGTAAATAATGATTTACTGTACTTTAAATGAAATGTACAATTTAAAGACTAAGAAGAGAGCCATATCTTTTTCCATGTTAGATGTAGAAGACTTATGATGCCAGTGAACATTTAGAATATACATATAAACATAGGGGAAAGTTATATTTACAAACTTTTTGTTTACAAACTCTTACAAACTACACTATGTACTTCCGGAAGTATACTAAGTTACGCTATGTATTTCCGGAAGTATATAGTGTAATTTGCAAAATTTGTAAAAAAAGTTTATAAACGGATCTTTCCCCATAAACATATATTGAAACCTATTACACCCATAGAATTTATTGAAATCAGGAGAACTTTTGCTCATTCTCGTTGATTCTTCGACCGACCTGAATCTCCACTAAATGCGCTTCACTGTGAGTACATTCGTCCATAACATAGACCTAAAGTTTAAGCAATCTTAGAAACATGCATCAACCACTCCAAGAACTGTAACCTCCGCTTCTACCAAGCAAATGTCTTTCACCAGATATCCCATGTTTTGACTGGTGAAATTACTGATTGAAATGAATCTGGATGCACCATTTTCATTGTTTGAGGCACTAAACCAGTAGTTACCTGCAAGTAGGGGAAAATAAAATAAAGAACTGTTGGGTTATTGAATTGAAGATGTGCTTTTGTTTGCTTAGACTGGCGAAGAATGTTGCCCGGAATGTTAATAATTCATTCAACTAGCATTTCTCTTGAGGAATTGCACCTAATAAAAGTGTACCAAACTCTACCTTTTCCAAAATAATGCTTAGCTTGCTTTTGATCAATGATGCGTAATACTGTCTGTGCATATACTTTAGAACCTGGAGGAAGGGCTGTTGGGTTAGCTAAGGCTAGGTAAAGTAAAAGATAACTGCCCAATTCAGCACCTTTTCCCTTGGGATATAGTTTTACCTTCCTGCAAAAAACAGTCTAACGACCAATCAGTAAATTGTTAAGTTGTCTGCTGTAGGTTAGGTTAAAGCAAAAATCCTTTGTTTGAATTAGTATCAGAGTAAATACCTTTTTGGATCCTAAACAAAAAAACACGGAACTCATTTTAATCCTTTAGAAAAAAAAGTACTCGTATTAATCCTTGAATTTTAGAGAAACCATAATTTCAGAAGAATCACAAGTTGGTTTTTTCCCCTAAGGTATTAAAATGGGTTTCGAGTTTTTTGTTGAGGACCCAAAAATGCATTTACTCTTAATCTTATTAATTTTTTTTGCCACAATGTATATTAATTTATCTTTTTTGTGGTATGGATTCTTCATCTTCACCTAAATGAAAGAGTTGAAAAAAAGAAGAAAAAAAACATGGAGAATCACATTGGAGTGCATCCATCAAGTTTAGAAACAAAATAGGGTTTAATTATTTTTACCACTCATAGTTTCCAGTATTGAATGGCTTAGAGTCACAACATTCTGAATCCAATTTTGAGAAGTTGTCAATCTCCCAGACGTGCTTGTAGGTGATGACATCCTTCAACATCATCAAAGATTCTCCTTTACCAGTGCTTCTTTCCCTGGTAACAAAGACTTCTGCTCCAAATGTACATATATCATCCACCAAATAGCCTTTAGAGGGCTTTTTGACCCTTATGCCCCTTAATTAATAATTAATTACCAAATTGCCCCTCATTCAAAACTATTTCGAAAATTTACCCTCCCCAACAAACATAACACCAATCTGCCCCTGTTTGACCGTTGACCACGAAGCCTACCCGGGTACACCATTATCTACCCGGGTAAATTTTGAAACTTTTTATCTACCCGAGTATGTAGGGATGTACCCGGGTAGAGTTCTTGAATCTGGGAAAATGTATGAATTATTTACCCGGGTACGTAGAAGTGTACCCGGGTAAATCGCGACGGTAGGGTTTTAAAATACCCCAGCAGCCCCATTCGAAAACCCACAAAAGGGGTACCCGAGTAGAGCTGCTGGAGGAGTGTCATCTTGAGCGATTTGAGGCATAATCTTGCACTAATTCGTCTTGTTTGTGATCATCATTCGCGGACCTTGCAACCTCTCTGCCTTCTACCGATTGAAATCGATCAAAGGTGCATTTTTTTTTTCAGTTTTTTCAATTATGTTATGATTTCTGTTCTGATTCATTGTTTTCGTTTATATCATTTGATTCTGTCCGAATTATTTTATCAATTTGTATGTCATACGCTTACCCTAACCCTGAATCTAACCCTAACCCTAACCCTAACCCTAACCCTAACCCTAACCCTAACCCTAACATGTATCTAATTTCTGATTTTGGTTATTTTTTCAGTTTAATAGTGTGACACAATGACCTCTCGACGCGTTTCAAAGCTGCCAGTGACCCATTCCGAGAGAAGAACCAAGAGTCGTCACGATGGGTCGTCATCCTCTCAGCCCCAGGCTGCTTCGAGTCAGGCTCCGGACTTGACGTTCGGATATTTGTTTGAGGATGACATTCCTTCACACGAGAAGTTCGTGAAGTTTTTCATGACCCGGAAGATCTGCGAACCGAAATCACTGGATTCGGCATTCTTCAACCTAGAGCGTTTTGACATCGTGCCGCTTCTTGAGCAGACACATTTACTTCACCTGGCGGAGATGCGGTGCCCATACTCGGAGGTTATGGTAAGAGCCTTCTACCAGAACCTTGGCTACTCGCAAGGCGAGCTGACTTCCCGTGTATGCGGGATTGATATCATCATGACTGCTCCTATCTGGACGGAGCTACTGGGGTTCGATTTTGATGGTGTCTCAGGAGCAGCACTATATGATGGAGACAGCCATCATATATTTGGTGATTATAACCGGGAGACCATTGTTACAGAGACTAGGAGGGCAGACGCTGAGCCCGGTCATTTTGCTCATTATCCTGTTAGCAACTTGTCAGTTTCTGCTCGCATTCTTCATTATGTGGTGACACATATTATTTTCCAGCGCCCGCATAATCACTCAAAGGTGCTGGAAGGGGACTTTGTCATCCTGTGGGCCCTCCTTCACAGTCAGCAGGTGAACTGGAGGCATTACATATGCATACTGATGTGGAAGGCAGCCAAGTCAAAGAAGGCTGAATTGCCTTTTGCATTTCTGGTGCAGAAGATTCTGCATAGATTTGGAGTGCCTATGGCAACAGAGACCTTGAAGACCGCCAGAGGCTGGAATGCTATATTTGGTGAGAGGCTCCTGAAGCAGTGTGGGATCCTACCGAACAGAGCGGGTATCTGGACGTGGAAGAAGGCACCAGAACCACCTGAGATCCCATTCCACCACGATGCTGAGATGGAGGATGCACCTGCAGGTGATGTGTTGGTCTTTATGAGTTTATGCAATTATGTGTTGTTTAATTTTTAATGTGGTATTGAAGTTTGTTTTTCATGGTTTATGATGTAGGCCTTGATGATGATGACGATGATGATGGCGTTGCTGAGGTTGATGTCAGACCGACACGTCCCACCCGCAGTCGGCGACCACCAGCTCCTCCTGAGGGTGGATGGACACTTGATCATGTCATGGCATCCTTATATGATCTGACTACTGACTTTAGAGGATATAGACAGAGCACGAGCAAGTGGCGAAACCAGATGGACACAAGGGTTGCACGGTTGGACACAAGGGTTTCACGCTTGGAGGGTTTAATTGGCGAGGGTGCCCATACTCAGGAGGAGGAGGAGGAGGAGGATGATGACAATGGGGATGACACACAATCGGATGAAGAGAATGGGGAGGACACGGCATCGGATTAGTGTGTCCATAGGGTTTCATATCATTGATTTAGTTTGATGTAATGTAGTCATTTTGGTACATTTAGGAACTTTACCTACATTGCATGGATGTTTTTGTACTGGATGTTCAAAATTTGAATGAATGAAATTTTCGTTTTGCGCACGTTCAGACTTGTTGGTTCTATGCATTAGTATGGGACCTTGCATTAATATTGTCATAATTAATTTGGAAATCAATTCAACCCAAAGTAGTTTATTATTCATTTTCAACTTTGATTGGCGCACATCTTGATTACTGCATCCTATTTCTACGAAATCAATCCACCCCCAAGTCATACCGTATGTAGGTATTGCACAACAATTACCAAAATGCAACAAAAATTGCCAAAACAGCATCTGCAACAGCATCTGCAACTGGTCTACCCGGGTACCACGAATAGTCTACCCGGGTAAGATGTACTCGGGTATATCATTACGAGTTACCCGGGTAGACCAGTTGCAGATGCAGCAGCAGGTGCTGTTCAATCCATTTTGTTAGCATCTTGGTAATTGATGTGTAATGCTAAACTTAACGGATACATTTCAACAATACATTTCAACAACACAAGAATACAGTTCAACAATACATTTCAACAACACAATACATAACTAATACAAGATAAAGTTTAGGGTACAAGGAAACAAAACAATACGTAAAGTGATTGTCATTACAAAACAAAGTACTACACAAATCATATATCCTCACACGATAAGTGCCAGCCAATTCATCATTTTTTTGCAACGCTGCCTCAACCTTCTTTGAAATTATCCAACCTTGTGAGTATATCTTTTTCAATCCCTTCACGTCTCTTGACGAAATACTCAATTTTCGTGTCTACGAAGCACCTTATTCACACACTCAGATAGGTTAGTTGTCATATGACCAACCTACGTCCTGTCTCATCATACGACCTGCACCAGCCACGTCCTCGGTATCGCATCCCAACCATGAAGCAACTTCAGGATTGTTCCGACAAATTCCGGTTCTTGTACCTAATGTCGAAAATTATCTTCGACACTGTGTACCCTGCAAAAAACCATGACATATGCATAGGTTAGTGAATTTCACTACCGTTTTCTTCAAATGGTTGAAAATGTGGTAGTAAATGACCGT